ATAGTTTATTGATGTCTAAAAATAGAAAGACCTCTTCGGAAAAAACCACCAAAAAAGCAAACAGATTTTTTATTGGCCCTTTTCACCCCCACCGAACCATTTCGAACATAAAATATGGTGATTATATATGAAATCCTATGTGTATTGCGGGATACGGTAAAATATACTTGTACGTGCATGTTTGATTTTAAATGGTTTTTTTTATTACATAATTTTAAATAGTTACTCCAAACGTATTATATGTATATGAATAGGAGGCCACAAATGCAATAAAAGAACAATATCATGCAAGGTTTAAAAAAAACAGATGGGTGACTCGAATTGGTCACACCCATATATGTGTCGGATTGAAGAAACGGCAGATTGGATCAGAGAATCGATGGAATCGGCAATCTTTGTCTCAATTTTTTTCAAAAAAATTAGTGTTCTTTAAGGTTCTAAACGTATTTATGAGTGATGCATTATGTGCTATTATTACTTTGTAAAAATAGGCGAATACTGAGACAATGTTATCATGTCTGGATGTCGGTATAATTACTGATTATAATATTGTATCCAAATAATTTTAAAATATTAGTAAACTCTTCCATATTAAAAGATTAAAAAAAATTATTATATGAAGTAAAATTAGTATTACATCAAAGTATTAAATATTTATTAATTCTCTTTACTCATCCAAAATTATCACAACCTAACTAACTATAATATTATATACTGAAATTGAAATTATTGGTTTATAAATTTATATTTTATAATTATTTTACTATACAAATAAAAAAAAATCTAAAATATCTTTTAGTACCATCTAATTTTTTAAAAAAATCTTATTTACAACTATAAGAAAAAATAATATATTGCATAATTTATAATACAAATAAATTAATAAATAAAATACAAGATTTGGCTAACAATGTATAATATTAATAATTATAATAAATATGATTAAAAAATATTAAAAATGTTTCCATAGCATATGATTAAAAATAAAAATAAAACCCCTAATAAATTTTAATGTAATTATATTCACATGATTATACTGACATAAGTTTGACAACTTATTAAGATAAATAAACAATAATAACTTGAATATTATTATACTAATTTTTGTAACTTAATTACATAGAATTTCGTTTTGTAATTATATATAATTAAAACTTAACTATATATACTTTTATTTTTATTTTTATAAAAAATTATTAATCTAAAAAGTAAATAAATTTTATTTGTAGACTAGAATAGTCCCACATCCAAGGATTTGGCTCAAAGAATCTAGTATTAAAGGGTGACCTCAAGCGTATGATTAAGAAATGGCGCATGTTGAGTAAGCATCTCATAAGAGCGGTATCCATCCAATTAATGGCATACCTTAAATCCAATTAAAGGCTGGTCTACCTCAAAAACTGCGATTAGTGGCCTACCTTAAAAACTGCGATTTATGGCCTACCTTAAATCCAATGGCTAAGGGTGGCCTACCTTAAAAACTGCGATTAATGGCCTACCTTAAATCCAATTAATGGCCGGCCTACCTTAAAAACTGCATTTTTATATATCATGAATCCATCCAATTATACATTTTTATATATCATGAATCCATCCAATTATGCATTTTTATATGTCATGAATCCATCCAATTATGCATTTTTTTATGTCATGAATCCATCCAATTATGCATTTTTTTATGTCATGAATCCATCCAATTATTTTTATATGACATGAATAAATCCAATTAGTTTTATATATCATGAATCCATCCAATTATGCATTTTTATATATCATGAATCCATCCAATTATGCATTTTTATATGTCATGAATCCATCCAATTATTTTATATGACATGAATCCATCCATATTTTTATATATCATGAATCCATCCAATTATGCATTTTTTATATGACATGAATCCATCCAATTCTTTTTATATATCATGAATCCATCCAATTATGCATTTTTATATATCATGAATCCATCCAATTATGCATTTTTATATGTCATGAATCCATCCAATTATTTTTATATGACATGAATCCATCCAATTATTTTTACATATCATGAATCCATCCAATTATGCATTTTTATATATCATGAATCCATCCAATTATTTTTATATAATCATGAATCCATCCAATTATTTTTATATATCATGAATCCATCCAATCATTTAATGGCATAAATCCAATTAATGGCCTACCTTAAAAACTGCATTTTTATATATCATGAATCCATCCAATTATTTTTATATATCATGAATCCATCCAATTAATGGCATAAATCCATCCAATTATTTTTATATATCATGAATTCATCCAATTAATGGCATAAATCCATCCACTTATTTTTATATATCATGAATCCATCCAATTATTTTTATATATCATGAATCCATCCAATTAATGGCATAATATATCATGAACCCATCCAATTATTTTTATATATCATGAATCCATCCAATTAATGGCATAAATCCATCCAATTATTTTTATATATCATGAATCCATCCAATTAATGGCATAAATCCATCCAATTATTTTTATATATCATGAATCCATCCAATTAATGGCATAAATCCATCCAATTATTTTTATATATCATGAATCCATCCAATTAATGGCATACCTTAAAAAGGGAAGAGGGAAGAACATATCATATTTTGCATTTTTATATATCATGAATCCAATTATTTTTATATATCATGAATCCATCTAATTAATGACATACCTTAAAAAGGGAAGAACATATCATATTTTGCATTTTTATATATCATGAATTCATCCAATTATTTTTATATATCATGAATCCATTCAATTATTTTTATATATGATGAATTCGTCCAATTATTTTTATATATCATGAATCCATCCAATTAATGGCATACCTTAAAAAGAGAAGAACATATCATATTTTGCATTTTTATATATCATGAATCCATCCAATTAATTTTCCAATTAATAGCATACCTCCAATTAATTTTCCAATTAATGGCATACCTTAAAAAGGGAAGAACATATCATATTATTTGGATGTAAAATTCTCTTAGGAAACGATAACCCGGTACATCATGAATCTTTTTATATATCATAAATTCATCCAATTAATGGCATACCTTAAAAGGGAAGAACATATCTGAATATATCTTATTATTTGGATGTAAATTTGGAAATAAAATTCTCCTAGGAAACGATATCCCGGTATATTATGAATCTCGGTTGATCCTAAATCTCAGATCGGCTCACTGATTTTTTATATATCATGAATCCATCCATTAATGGCATACCTTAGAAGGAAAGAACATATCTCGCATACCTTAAAAGGGAAGAACATATCTTATTATTTCGATGTAAAATTCTCTTAGGAAATGATTCCATCCAATTAATGGCATAACTTAAAAGGGGAAGAACATATCTTATTATTTGGATGTAAAATTTCCTAGGAAACGATGTATCCAGCCGGATCAGGTCATCGGTTTTTTAAACATTATGTCATGAATCCCGGTATATCATGAATCTTGAATCGGGTCACCGATTTTTTAAACACTATATCATGAATCCATCCAATTGATGGCATACCTTAAAAAGGGAAGAACATATCTTATTATTTGGATGTAAAATTCTGCTAGGCAACGATGTATCTTAATCTAGACAAAGCTAGTAGAACCTAAAATCGAGTCATGATCATATACAACATCGGCACATACAATGTTTATCTGAACAATAAATTTCTCTATATTTATAAATAGAATGATATAAAATGCATTACAAGAAAGATATCTTGACAGGTAATCCTCCAATTAATGGCATAACTTCAAAGGGATTACTTACTTTTTATGAATTTGAATCTCATTTCATAAAGAGAAATATAATTACATAGATACATTTACCCCCACAGTATATTTTACGTCATACCATATGGATTTATATTTAGGAAAAAGTATATATAAGGTGTCAACGTACAAGTAAGGCGCACCCAAAAAATCCACGGTCTTTTCTATGCTGTAAAACTCACAAATCGATCATCTCAATCTCAACATTCATAGATATAGAAAATCAAAAGACGATTTTTAATCCTAAAAATAGTTCATCTCCGTACACATTATATGGACCATAAATTTCCAATATTTTCAAGTGTGTAATAGATCTGCTTGATCGTCATGATTTCTAAAACTTCAAATTTCATTTGAGGGCAGCAATAAATGTTCATATCATCACAAGACTATGCATCACCAGCCTTGCATTTGTGGTTTAGTTTTGAGGTGGACCTTACTTCAATAGTATAAGGTTGACACCTTATACAAACGTAATTTTGATTGTGAAGTCATACCATATGAATGAAGTAGTCACTCACACTTGATATGCTCGAGAGGTTAAGGGCACCAACTAATATTGAATCTCATCCCTGTCTTACCCAATTTTTTTTATTTTCCCTTTTTGTTCACAAATAAAAACTCTCTTTTTTCACCCAAAACACTCCGAGTTTTTCATACTGTTCAAAGGTGGTCTCTTTCCAAAATCCATTTTTGCAATGGATCATAATTAATCTTCATCACCAATATCATGTCTAAGAAAAATGGAATTTAAATCTTAAAAATCGATCTTGAAAGGTTTCAAAAACCCTATTCTTCATATATTTTTATACATTTCATTGAAGTAAACCACACACTCTACGTAGAAAGCTACTTTGTAAAGAAACCCAAGTAGGATGAGTTGGAAATTACTCTAAAAAAAAGGAAATTAATAATATCATACAAATTTATTTCTTATTCATGGCTCCCACTACTTAATAACTCCTGTTTCTAAACCCTCGACAGTCCCCCAAGATCACAACACAGAGAAGGAGAGAGAGAGATTAAATTTCACCTGAAAGACAGTAGAGAGAGAAAGAGAGAATGAAAAGCAGAGTGAGAAAGAAGATAAAATGGAGGACAGGGAGTTACCCTGCAACTGCTTGATCCATTGGAAATCACCCTTCGTCTATATATAAATATAGGACCACCCAGTCACTTTGAGCTCACCACCTAAACCTAAGAGAGAGAAATGGCAACTCAGTTAGTCCTCTTCCCAAGCCCAGCAGTGGGGCACTTGGTGTCCATGGTGGAGTTGGCGAAGCGCCTCCTCCACCATAACCCCACCGCCTTCTCCATCACAATCCTCACCACCCAATCCCCCTTTGGCCCTGGCGCCGCTGCCACCTACATTGCCAATATCTCTGCGTCCGCACCGCTGGCCCTCCAATTCCTCACACTCCCTCTCCCACCTCTCCTTCTCCCCTGAAAGCAAAGGCGAAGTGCTCCTCAGCCTTTTCATCGGCGCCCACAAACAATCCATTGCTGAAGCCCTGAAATCGCTCTCCCCGGTTCGAGCCTTCATCACTGATCTCTTCTGCACCACCATTCTTGACACTGCGGCTGAAGCTGGTGTTCCGGCGTACAACTTCTTCACTTCTGGCGCTTCACTTCTTTCTCTAATGCTCTATCTCCCTACACTTCATGACCAAATTGCATCGGAATTTACGGATTTGAAGGAGCCGGTGGCGATCCCCGGCATGACGCCGTTGCCACCACTCGACATGCCCACGACGCTCATGAACAAGACCAATGACGCATACACCTGGTTCTTGTACACTCCCGCCCCCTCCGTGAGGCAGAGGGAATTCTTGTGAACACCTTTGAAGAATTTGAGCCTCAACCCCTCAAGGCCTTACCCGATGGTCAGTGCCTACCTGGCCACCCCACGCCCCCAGTCTACGCTGTCGGCCCCCTCCTCAACCTTGATGAACAGCAGCCCCCTGCTAGCGAACCTCACGAGTGCTTGAAATGGCTCGGCACCCAGCCAGATGGCTCGGTCCTGTTTCTGTGTTTTGGGAGCTGGGGCGCCTTTGAGCCAGCCCAGGCCAAGGAGATCGCTCTTGGGCTCGAGCAAAGCGGCCATCGTTTCCTGTGGTCTCTGCGAGGTCCGCCAAAGGAAAAATTCTCAGGCCCCACCAATGCAGACTTGGAAGTGCTGCTCCCAGAGGGGTTCATAGACCGGACGAGGGAGCGCGGGATGGTGTGGCCGACATGGGTGCCGCAGGTGGCGGTGCTCGCACACCCTGCAGTCGGTGGGTTCGTGTCGCACTGTGGCTGGAACTCGATTCTGGAGAGTGTGTGGCATGGCGTGCCTATCCTGGCCTTTCCCCTGTACGCAGAGCAGAGGCTGAACGCATGGGAGCTGGTGAAGGACATGGGCGTGGGCGTGGGCGTGGGCGTGGGCGTGGGCTTGGGCGTAGGCGTGGACGTGGAGGTAGATAGCGGTAGCTGCGGTTTGGTGAAGGCTGAGAAGTTAGAGAAGGCAGTGCGGCGATTAATGGAGGCGGAGGAGGGGCAGAGAGTGAGGCGGCGTGGGAAGGAATTGAAGGAGGCGGCGAGGAAGGCGGTTGAAGAAGGGGGCCCGTCGTATGCCGCTCTAGCAACGGTGGCTGGCAAATGGGTCCAAGAGAAGTGAATGGTCTTCGTCGTCGCCGTTGCATAGCTTGATTGCCTTAATTGTTTTTCCATAAATTTCGAGTACTATCTCTCGCGACTTTTTTTTTTTTCTCTACGTTGACCTATTATTTGGCAAGGACAAACCTTGACATGAGGGTGTTTTCTTTTCACAAATGTAAAGAGTTGTCTGGTATTCGTATTACCAAATAACTAGATTATTTGTTAAGTTCATGTTTGATGGTGTTGGTAACTAGATTATTTGTTAAGTTGATGTTTGATGGTGTTGGTACCGGACAGTAATATAGTTCTATATTGTCTGGCATTCGTATTATTCAACAACTTTTTATAATCCCCAAAACCTTGTTTGTCCTTTATTCCCCTCATTTCTTTCACTTCTTTCTTCTCTTTCCACTCTTTCTGATATGACCCCACTCCCTACCATCCCCATCGGACCCACACAGGGCTAAGCTTGGGCCCGTTGGAGGACAATAGGGCGTGGAATCGCAACCACAGGTTGCAAGCACCACTCTGGTTGGAGTGCGCCCAATCACTTGAAAAAAAAAGAATTTTCATTATCAAAGCCAACTATGAAAGAAATGAAAAACAAAACACATTATACATAACCATAGTCTGATACACAAACAAGTCCCAAAATATATATAACAGTAATAAAATAGTACATATAAGTCTAAGGTACAAAAAATCCAACATCCAGACATTGTCAAAATAAAATGGACTATATGGCCAAACCACCAACTAAAACATATATTGCAATATGGAGTTTCAACTGAAGGGGAGTAAGAGACCCCAAGTGCAATCACCAAGTCACGCTGCTCCAAACACGCTGGCTATCACTCTACATGGAGGAGAAGTTGAAAGAGTGAGCTGTAAAGCCCAGTAAATAGATCTAGGTGCCATGAAATCATGTTTATCATGACAATAATCGGGTTTATGCTAGTCTTACAAAGCATGGAGTGATGAGTCAAATTCATATCTTACACACGTGTCTCGTACGATTCGTTTCATGGTGGAGTAATAACTAAATTGATCGATCTGATATGATATGGACAAAGAGTCGATCAAATCATTCAAGCATGAGTCTTATAACAGATCAAAACAATTAGGCATGTATATGTTAAGCATAATCAATATCAAGATATACTAACTAACTAACTACCTAACTCTTGAAGTAGAAGCTCCACTGATGCCTAGAGCCTCTACCATTTCATCAGGAGGGAAGCACCACTAACGGTTCACTCCGTTGTGTAGTGCCTTACACACAGTCCCCAATGCGCTTTGGGGCATTTTGATAGGCAGGGGCCTTACAAGATACAACCCTCTCATGTGTCTTTTTGGAGAGAAAGCATTACACTACCAAAGGGGTCCCAATGAGTAGTGCCTCACATAGATTTTGGGGGGCGCAACCCTCCCAAACACACACACTCCTAACTCTCATCCTATCATAGAGAGTTAGGAAAATATCACAACTACCAACACATATATCTCATCATATCATCGCAGGGGCATGTCTCCATGCACCCATAGCTTATCACGAGCATGTTATCATGCACACATATCTCATCAGTAGCATGTTGCCATGCACACATATCTCATCAATAACATGTTGCTATGCACATATATCTCATCAGTGGTATGTTACAATGCACACATATCTGATCAGTAGCATGTTGCCGTGCACACATATCTCATCAATAGCACCTTGCAATGCACACATATCTCATCAGTGGCATATTCCATACACATATATCTCATCAATAGCATGTTCTTATGCACATATATCTCAGCAAAAGCATGTTATACATATAAACAAAAACGCCACTATATCATATTATCATGCTTTTTAGCTCAATAGACATTATCATGTCAATATCATGCTATATATCAATGCAACAGACATCATCATGTCATATTATCATATTTATTAGCTCAAGAGACATTATCATGTCAATATCATGCTATATATCAATGCAATGGATATCACTATGTCATATTACTGGGTTTCCAAGATGAACATTGTCCACCTCTAAGCTCATATCATTAAATTTAACAATTATTTAACCTTGCAACCAAATTTATGAAAATGTAGACTCATAAAAAGACAAAAATATTGGTTTAAAGTTTGTTAAACTATTTGATGTTCTCGTCTTGCGCAATAGAAAATCCAAGGTGACACCTTACTGAAAAAAATGACCATATCTTTCAGACCATAAGGCATTTTATCATGATTCCAAAACTAATTTTAAACTAGACTAATCTATCTAGCATTTCAAAGTGGTTTGACCTCATTTGGGTACATTTTGGTATGTGAAATGCTTCACACAAAAACAGGTTAAATCCCTGGAATTTTATTTCATAAATCTGCTTCAATAAATGGTTAATAACTTTCAAATTAAATGATATATCAACAAAAGGTTTTTTCCATGTAGAAATACATTCAATATACTACTGACCCACCAAAATTCATGGTCTAAGGCAAGGTTCAAGGTAGTCTAATGATCTCTCAAACAGGGACCACAGTTCTGAAAATCAAAATGCTCTTCAAAAGATTATTAATAGCATGCACTAGCACCCACACTCACACCCATAATCGAATTTCACATTTTGATTAGGTAAGGAAACATGCATTAACATAAGTATTAAACCATGAAAACTAAATCCACTTACCTATTCCAAATCAAAACCCTCAAGATGCAATATTCTACAAGCTCCACTTCAATTGTCAAGCTTCAAGTGGAGTGGGTTCAAGGTTGAGAGGTTAAAGATGTACGAAGGTTAAATGACTAAGGGAGAAGAAGGAGAACGTGGGGGAAAGAGGGGCAAGTGAGGGAGTGGGAGGAGAGAAAAAGAAACCAAATTGATTAGTAGATGAAAGGGGTATAAATAAGCATGAGGGGTGGAAGCATACATGTGCCACATGACACTCAAGTGATCATGCATGAGGAGAGAGAAGCAAGCATAGAGAACACAATGATGAGGGTGGAAGCATGGATGAGGAGAGAGAGAATGTGAGATGAGAGATACTCTATACCACCATGCACCACCCGCGTGCTTATCCACCGCATTCTAACACATGTCCGTCAATCCACGCTTAATAGCGCTCATCTACACGCGCCCGTCAATCTGCGCTCAGCACTCATCCACCCGCGCTCTCAAAATGTGCCCATCAATCCGCTCTCAGCGCTCATCCACCTGCGCTCTCAACGTGCGCCAGTCTACCCGCGCTCAGCAACAACACTCTTATCTATCTGAGCCCAACTGCACATTTATCTGTCCGTGCCCAACTGCGCACTTATTCATTACTTTGGGAAAGTCCCGGACTTAACACTTTCTAACCCAACGCTCATCCTCTCTGTGGAGCAGCCATGTAAAGCTTCACATCCACGGATATTTGGTTGTGCTACACCATGCTAGAGAGTTTCCGGTAATACTACGACCGGACAAGAACTTAACAAAGAAATTAGTTGTCCGTTAATAAGAATGCCAGACAACTCTCCACATTTGCCGAAAGAATAGGGTCCTGTGCCGAACAAGAGGGCAACTTAAGAACAAAAAAACATCGTCGGGGTGGTACTCATAATTTATGGTAAAAATAACATCATACGGTAAAATCCCCCAAACAATGTCCATACAAAATTGCTCTTTAATGATTCATCTAGGGCTGGCAATTGGCGCGGAAAACTGTGGCATGAAGTCTAGGGTCGCCGGCCCCACCTAGCCATTTTTTATTTTTTCTCATTTGTTTTTACCTCGACCCTAGACCTGCTTGTTGCCACCCTTAGATGAATCTGATATTTAACCATGAGATTATTTTTAAAAATAAAGGATCTCCATAAAAGTCTCTTCAAAATTAAAATTTGGATTTTGAGTTTTGAACACAACTGTGACTATACAACCATACAAAAATTTTGGGCCTAAAAGTCGTTATATCGCTCGAGGGAGTGAACGCAGAAAATGCTCCGGCGGGCGCATAGAATCGTTTGAATTGTTTTATAATTATCTAATCCCTCCTCCCTTGGACTCCTCCGAGCCCATTCACCACCACCCAATCCTGCAGCGACTCTAATTTTTCCATCACCATGTCCAATTAAATTGGTGACTCAAAATGTGAACCTATTGCACTCGGTCCAAGTCTTTAAGCCGAGGGTTGTAAAATTGTTTGAATCGTCTGATCCAGATTAAGTATTATAGTTATTGTTCTGGATCTCTTAATATATCGAGATCCGACAGTGTCCCCAAGAACTAGTATGTTCAAGTCGGTCCGTACCGATCATTTATCAAAGAACCAGTTCATTTCTAATAAATTCGGATCTGGATCATGTATGTGGTAACCATTCCACATCCCCAATCTATCAAGATCTAGTTGTATCCCCTAAAACTAGACCCCCAATATATTGGGATCTAATCGTAATCCCTAGAAATAGCCGGTTCAATTCAATAGTTTGTACTGGTTATTTACCAAAGAACCAGTTCATTCTTAATAAACCATATTTCTTAAACGATTATCGAATAAAAAGTACTATTGTGGGGCACACCAATCTCACTTATATTAGCAAGTATTATAGGGCAGTGATTTTATGCAACAGTTGTATCATAATATAATGCAACAATTTTCAAAAATCATGTTAGAGCCATTTGTTTGATCCAAATTTTAAAATATACACTCTTAATGAACAATAAAAAAAAAAGAACTTAGAAAGTATTTTTTTAGTCCAATTAACATAGGCCATTCATTTTGATAAGATGCTTAGATCTAGGCCTTAAAAGGATTTTTTCGTTTCCATTTTTTTTAGGTGGCTTTATTATGAACAATGTTAAAAAAGAAAAAAATGATTTTGAGTTTGTAATGGCTAAGATATTGAAATTTACCAAATGAATGGCCAAGATTTGTTGTTGAAGGGGACTAATTTTGACCCTACCTAGGGTTCAAATTGAACTTTTTTGTTGGGGGAGGATTGATTATTGAGATGAAGAGAGTGCGTGTGCAAAATTATGGATCAT